CTTGTGGCTGATAGGACTGACAAAGTGTTCCTGTCCTGTTAGCTCTAGAGACTGGCAACCCTTACAAAGGATAGTTGCCCTGTTAGCTCCTGTGCCTGGCAGACGTAACAAAAGGTACCTGTCCCGTTAGCTTTGTATATAGCAAGCCTGAAAATTAAAGGGCTACTTGTTTTGTAAGCTCTAGTGACTAGCAGGCCTGACAAAAGATACCTGTACCGTTCCCTCGAGTCAGGCAGGCATAACAAAGGGTGCCTGTTCTGTTAGCTATAGTGACTAGCAAGGCTGACAAAGGGAACCTGTCCCGTTTGGCCTAGTGATTTGCAGACCTGATAAAGGACACCCATCACATAAGCTCTATTGACTGGAAACCCTAAAAAGGGTACCTCTGCGGCAATCTTTAGTGACTCGGAGATCTGACAAAGGGTACTTGTCTTGTTTGCTCTAGTGACAGGCAGGCCTGGTAAATAGTAACTACAGCAAAACTCGTTTAGTACGAACACGGATATTGTGAATTCACGGATATAGCGAAGTTATCTTGGATCCCCAGCTTTTTAAATTTAACTTATTCTTTATACGGATATAATGAATTACGGATATAGCGAAGTTATTTCATAGGTCCCAGTGACTTCGTTCTAACCGAATTTACACTGTTTAGACTAAGTTAAAAGCAGGCCTGAGAAAGAGCACCTGACCTGTTTAATCTTGTGACTAGCAACCTTAAAAATGCGTACCTCCATGTTAGGTCTAATGACTGGTAGACATAACAAAAGCCAACTGTCCCCTTAGCTCTAGTCAAGCAGGCTTGAATAAGGTACCTCCCTGTAAGCTCTAATGACTACCTGGTAGCATGCATGAAAATGGGTGCCGAGTGACTAGTAGTCCTTGCATAGTGTGCCTTTCCTGTTAGATTTAGTGCCTAGCAGGCCTTACGTAGGGATTCTGTCCTGTTAGCTCTAGTGACTAGCAGGTCTGATGAAGGGAACCTGTCTCGTTTGCTCTAAATGACCAGCAGGCATGCATGTCAAAATGTCAAAGGGTACCTGTCCCATAAGCAATAGTGACTGGAAACCCTGACAAAGGGTTCCTGTCCTGACTAACGGGCCTGGCAAAGAGTACCTGTCTAAATAGTTCTAGTGACTAGCAGGCCTGACAAAAAGTACCTGTTATGTTTGCCATAGTCACAAGCAGGCCTGACAAAAGGAACCTGTCACGTTTGCCCTTAGTGACAAGCAGGCCTGACAAAAAGGTACCTCCCTGTGAGCTCTAGTCACTGGCACTCCTGACAAAGGGTATACCTGTTCCGTTCGCTATAGTCAAAGTGGCCTGACTAAGGAGAACTATATACTAGCCTGAGAAAGGGTACTTGTCCTGTGACTCTCGTGCCTATTAGATCAGACAAAGGGAACCTGTCCAGTTTGCCCTAGTGACTAGCAGGCATGACAAAGAGCACCCATCGCGTTATTCTAATGACTGGTAACCCTTACAAAAGGTACCCGTTCTGTTAACTATAGGAACTAGAAGGTCTGACAAAGGGAGCTTTTCCCGTTTGCTCTAGTAAGTAGCAGGCCTATCAAAGTGCACCTGTCCCGTTAGTCCTAGGACTGGTAGCCCTGAAAAAGGGTACCTACTGGGAGTATCTCGTTTGCTCTATTTACTGCAAGGCCTGGAAAAGGTTTCCTGTCCTGTACGTTTTAGTGACGGGCAACCCTTAAAAGGGTATCGGTCCCGTTTTATCTAGTGACTAGCAGGCCTGAGAAAGATAAACTTTTGCACTAGTGACTGAAAATCCTGACTAAAGTACCTGTCCCACTTGCCCTAAGTGACAAGCAGACTTGTTTTTTATTGATCCAATTTTATTCACTTTTATGTGTGAATTATATTTTGTATAAATAAAATAATTAAAAATAAGTGACAACCATGCTTGACAAAGAGTATCTGTCCTGTTAGCTCTAGTAACTGGAAACTCTAAAAAAAAAAAAGCTCCTACGTGAAAGCTCTTAAGTGACTGACAGAGTGTCCCTATCTTGTTAGCTCTAGTGACTGTTAAACATTACAAAGGGTATCTGTCCTGTTAGTTTTAGCGACTAGCAGGTCTGACAAAAGAAAATGTCCAGTAACTCCAGTGAATGTTAGCCTCACAAAAGGTACCTATTCTGTTAGCTCCAGTGACTATCAACCCTGGCAAAGGGTATCTATTCTGTTAGCTCAAGTGAATTTCAACCCTTGCAAAGACTACCTGTCCTATTAGATCTTGTGACCTGCAATCATGACAAAAAGCACCTGTCCGGTTAGCCCTAGTGACTGGCAACCCTGATAAAGGGTACCTATCTAATTAGCTCTATTGACTAGCAGTCCTGAAAAACGGTGCCTGTCCTGCTAGCTCTAGTGACTGTCAACCTCTGTCCTGTTAGCTCTTGCAACCGACAACCCTGACAAATGGCATCTATTCTGTAAGCTCTAGTGATTATCAACCGTGAAAAAGGGCACCTGTCCTATTAGGTTTTCGACTGGCAGGTCTGGCAAAAAGTACCTGTCCTGTTAGCTCTAGTGACTGTCAACCCTGACAAAGGGTACCTAAATCTAATAGCTCTAGGAATTATAAACCTGTCCTGTTATGTTTTGCAACTGGCAACCTTGACAAAGGGCACCTATCCTGTTAGCTCTAGTGACTGGCAACACTGTCAAATGGTACATATCCCATTAGCTCTAGTGACTGGATACCTTGACAAAGGACACGCGTCCTGTTAGCTCTAGTGACTGAAAACCCTGTTAAAGGACAACTATTCTGTTAGTTCTAAATGAATATTAACCCTGACAAAGAGTACCTGTCCTGTTATAGAACTCTAGTGACTGGCAGGCCTGACAAAGAGTACCTTCCTGTTAGCTCTAGTGACTGTCAACCCTGACAAAGAGTACCTGTGCTGCTGGCTCTAATGACAAGCAGGTCTAACAAAGAGTACCCATCTTGTTTAGCTCTAGTGACTGTCAACCTTCTGAAATAGTACCTGTCCTGTTAGCTCTAGTGAATGTCAACCCTGACAAAGAGTACCTGTGCTGCTGGCTCTAATAACAAGCAGGTCTAAAAAAGAGTACCCATTTTTTTTAGCTCTTGTGACTGGCAACTCTTAAAAGGGAATCTGTCTTGTAGGAGTGAAACATTGCATCTCCTTCACGGTACATTCCATACCATATAATTTTGTGGATACAGCGGTGAATCATTTCACTCCTAAAGTGTCTTGTTAGCTCTAGTGACTAGCAGGCCTGACTGAGAGACTGAAAACTATGGCCACCTTTGTTGCAAATATTGCTTTGGGAAGAAACAATAATAAATATAGGATAAAAATACAAAAGTTTTATTAACATTTTTTTTTTGATATTTCAATACGGTACAAAATTACCATGTTTAATCATAAAACAATCAAGACAAGAGCCTAAAGTCTTAGTCTACTTAATATACATGTTTAGTAAAACAATACTGAAGTAACATATAGAGAAAATCTGCTTTTAATGAACTGTACAAAACAACAATGGGAGAGGATTATATACAAATAATGAATACAATTGCACCAAAGTAATTTCTAACAATTTCTTTTGATTCATTTCAAGCATATTTTACTGTTAATATCATTAAGAATACCTCAGTTTCAAATCTTAATCTAAATCCTAATCGAAGTCTTCAAAATTCTTATTGACAATCAATAACAAAGATAATGTACAATATCTGTACCTAGCTTAGCACTTGAACATATGTTAAAAATATACATCGTAATCAACTTGATAATAAGTATTATAATTGTGATCAGGAGACTTAATCTTTTAATTATTCTTTGAGCATCATAATCAACAAAATATGTAACCAAAACCTGAAAGTTAACACAGAGAAGGGAAATAACTCTTTGTGAAATTTTACAATCATGCAAGTATAAAAATATGCACATTTTCAGCATATAAAAAATGTGTACACATATTGAAGTATACTTCCATGATGCAAGGGTCCCTTTTTTATAATGGGAAATTTTTTTGTGGGAAGAATTTTTGGTAATCAAGTTCTCTCAATGAACAGTGAACATAAAACTGCATAATTATATGAGAGATTATGGCAATTTGATTTGTTACCGGTACTCATACAAGTTCTTTTCCAATGAGAAAAGTAATAACTTAGAAAACAGTCAACATTAAACATAATATTTATGACATATACAAACAATGTACCTACAGTTATATTTCTGTTTACCTCTCCAATAATTCAAATGGATTTCATATAAAATCAACAACAATAATACACAACAAAAATATATAACAATATAAAAATGAGAAAGCAGGTTCTAACAATAAGAACCTGATTAACAATTGTCATACATGGATTTCTAATTATGAATCTCTTAATTCATATGTAGCAATCAAGAATAAGAGATATACAACCATATATGTTACAAATATTAAGAGCTCTTATTTGAAAGGAGCTTTGCCATTTTGTTGTTTGCAATGAAAGATGCATGTAGGTATTCAAAATACAGATCTAATCAAGTCTTGAAATAAATTTGGAATGAATTTTTAATGATAATTTGTAATATGGGTAATTAAAATTCTCTAGTCATGCAAATAGGTCTACTGAATAAAAAGGGGGGAGGGGGGCTAATAGTTTGATGTTACATGTATTTGGTGCATCTTTTGTGAGCTACTTCTTGAACATCACCAAAATATAATTTAGATAAATCCAATACATACAAATACTGATACCTAACCATGATACCTAACCAATATATTTGATGATTTTTGAATATGCAAAAAAAAAAAAAAAAGAACACATACAGTTACCTACATGTTTTAAAAATATCCATACAATACATTCATAACTGTTCTGGACCAATTTCACAACATGAGAAGAGAAAATAAATACATCTAATTTGTTGTTGCAGTAAAAATGACAAATGTAAAAATAAGTATTGATTCATTTGTTATTTTCATTGGTATCAAAAATAATTGAATTACACCACATTTTTAGAGGGGGAAGGGGGAGGAGGGTCACTCTTGTTTCTGAACTTGGTCTTTCTTTTGAGAGAACACAACAAACAAAATTTTTTCCTTTTTTCCCCTTTCTCGATATCATTGTACCAGAATCTTCAAGCTTTTGATTCGTATAAGGTGTTAAGTTTTTTGGATAGTTTGTCTACCCTATACTTTTCCACTTTCCAAATAGTGTTGAATCAACATCTTCAGACTTCGGTTTGGTATAAGGTGCTTGGTTTTCAGAGGTATACTGGTCATTGGGCTAATGTCCTTCCCCTTGTTTATCCATCCCTGGATAGCTGACCGCTCGTAGGTGTAGCCATCTTTAACAAAAAAAGTACACATAAATATCATCATTGTAAATCAGGTGACATATTAATTGTTGGATTATGCAGGTGACATAAAAATTATCTAAACACATGATTTAAATGAACTAATAATTTTTCCAAGTAAATTTCTCCATGCACTGGAAAAATTACATGTACTACATTGTTAAATAAATTAGCACATTGGAATCTATTTGTTGCTAAATTATCTTCATGTCCACAATAAAACTCACCCTCAGCCATCACTGGGTCCTTCATTAATTCCCTGGTTATAGGACATAAATACTCATCAGGAATTCCATTATCTGTAAAGAAACAGGAAGAAGGTCAGCTTTTGATACAAATGAGTAATAAATTCTTTAAAAAACAAGAGGGCCACAGGCTGTAACACTCATAAGAGTCCCTACGCCAGCTTTAATATCAATGTCTGACAAAAATCAAAAATATAATTTATGCTTCTCAAAATCTAGAATTATCTGTTTCATGGGATTCCTTTAATTCAATTCATTTAATGACCAATTAAGGGCCCTTGTGGGACAAAAAGAAAGTACATTGTTCACATTTGTATAATGGTTATAATCATACACATGAAATACAATGTATATACACACAAGAGGGAAAGGGTTACTAGATGGATAGGAAAGACATACAAGTAGGGGAAATACACCAAATATTATGCACAATAGTTTTATTGGTATATAAACATCATATATATGCATACATTACTAACTCATATACAGTACCGACCGGACACAACCTAACAGAAAGCGAACCCGGAGCGGACCCCGGGTTTCGCTCTCTGGGTCCGCCTCGGGTTCGCTCGGGGTCCGCTAGGGCTGACCCCGAGCGAACCCGGAGCGCACCCAAAGTGAACCTGTAGCGGACCCCGAGCGAACCCGAAGCGGACCCAGACAGCGAACCCAAAATTCAGTAGCGGTCCCAGAGAGCGAACGCGCGTTCGGTATTTCTTTACAGAGCTGTCAATCAGTATTAGCGATTAACCAATCAGCGCTTCAACCAATCAAAATAGCAAATTGATCTGTCGATTGGGATAAAAGATCGAATGTGTTGATTTAATACAATATAAATCCAAACATTGTACATGCAAAACGTGTGTACAGTGTAAATCTATTATGATAATTATTAAAATATTATTTTATATTTATTTATTTTATTTCTCCTGGTTGTATTTTATATCTATATATATATATTTTTTTATTAAAGCAATTAATAAATTATATATTTAATTTTCCACCTGGAATGATACATGAATATTTACGTATTTATTTTCTTAATTTCTTTATACCAGTAGTTAAAGCCCATGGGTAAATAAATTAGGTATTAAATACATCAGTCAATGTGTAATAAAAGAAATCAATAATTGGTATTACAATTTTTACTGACAAAAAGAGGAGAGAAGAAAAATAGTTTGTCTTTGACAATTATTTTAAAAATTTCATGATCTCAAGATACTAACAGTACAACAATATTTATATTTATAAAATTCACATCAAAATTATTGATTTTTTAATTGTGCATGAATAAAATTACATGAACATGTACGTCTTCCTGTATATTTATGGGAAAAAAATTTATTGCAGCAGGCTTATAGAAAACAATTCGAGTATGGGATTGAGAGGACGAATCTTAGAAATTTAAGAAAAAGTCATCAGGCTTTATTATTTATCTAGTCTAATGATGAGAGTTAATACAGTTAAGATCTCTCTCTCTCTCTCTCTCTCTCTCTCTCTCTCTCTCTCTCAATGTTTCCTGTATTTATTTCTATTCAAATACTTAGAAATATTTTTTTAAAGATAATTTTTAATTTCATTGATGTGTGTGTGTGAAGTAGGGGGGATATATTATTATACTCTTAGCGGGCCGGGAGAACAATTATTATTTGTCATTTTATTTATTTTTTTTTCCTTCTGATTAAAATCATACTCGCTCCATAATTCTCAGCGTGAAAAAGGTCTGGTATATTTTTTTTTTTCAAAATGTCCTGTAAATATTTATTACGAACTTTTAATGTGTAACTACTATGAATGAAATCTAAATTTATCACGTGTACAAAAGGTTAATGTAATTTATAGATGTGCTATCATAATTCACGTGTTTGGCAAAGATTTAAACTTCAATTTTGCAAAACTTAAGGAATAACAAATATAACTTTAAAATATATAACGCATGAATTTGAAAGGTATTTTGTCTAGATGCTAACTTCAGTATCACTTGAACACCATTCGATACATTTAAATTAATTCAACACCTTTTTCTTCCTCTTTTGTTTTTTGTTTTCATGTTATAACTAAAGAAAAATAAATGCCTAATAACCCGCTGTTAAATAACTTTGAATTTTTCGGGATCGAAATTCCGAGATCGGAGAAATCAAGGAAATCAATTATACATGTACATGTACATGTAAATCTACGTCAAATGTACAGTTGAATTTTGGAAAATTTATCAATGTTCTCCATAATGTCACTGTTTACATGTACAGTTTACATGTATTGATCCCCGCATAAACAACAATGATCGATCCACAATCCCATTACTGTATCGGAATATATAAGGGGCGGGGCTTAGTGGCGGCGAGATTAAAGCGGGGTCCACTTCACGCATCAGTGCGTAAAACGGTCCCAGAAAGCGAACGCTGGTTCGCTCTAGCGGACCCAAAGCTGATCCCGAGCAAACCCGTAGCGCACCCAAAGCACACCCAGAGCGGTCCCAAAATTTCTGAAATCGACCCCGAAGCGGACCCCGAGCGAACCCCGGGTCCGCTTCGGGTTCGCTCTGGTGTTAGGTTGTGTCCAGTCGGTACTGCATACTTGAAAGTATCATACTTTTGCATAATTCATCAAAAAAAAAAAAAATTCACTTTCCTAAAACTTATGGTAATGCTTTTTGTAAAAATCTTCCAAAAGAATTCAGAAAGTATATTTATTTTTTCAGAATTTAGAATCCAGAATAATTTTTGTGTATCAGGCAACCATTCTGTAAAATGTTTTACTATAGATAAGATCAGGCTAATAAATAGGTCTTCTCTTTCCTTTGTAAATTTGCTACAATGAATAAGGAAATGTTCTTCATCTTCTATTTGATTAAGCGTACAATTTTTACATATTCTTTCTGATCTGGGTTTGTTATTATATCTGCCCAATTCTATGAATACTCTGTGTGCTGATACACGTAATCTGCAAACTGGATTTCTGTATTCAGGTCTTAATAAAATAAGATATTTTCCAGTCTAAAATTGTTCTTCAGAAATAAATAAGTGACAAGTTTGCCCTCTTTTAGTGTTTCATTTGAGTGTTGCCAATCAAATGAGTATTTTTTATTCATGGATACATAAATTTACTCTTAGTTAATAGTATATGATATTATGTTTGGAATATCAAGAATTTTTAGTAATTTTTCTATTGAGGAGTACCAAGTTGTTTTTGGGACAAAATGAAGTTCCTTACTAGTTACTACATATATATGCATCTTTTAGTAAAGGGAAATCCGATTTTAATACTTAAGTATCTGTATATAATATCATAATGTAAAGGATATCCACCTAGTTCTGAAAGAGAAGCACGATTCACACTTTTCCTATTCAAACCTAATATAGCTTTACAGAACTTGGTGTGTAAATTTTTGTAGCATAGTTGCATCAATACTTCATTAGATTGCTTTATTTTTGAATTACATTTGTATTAACATTTTAAATATTCCCCATATTTTTGAGTCATAAAGTAATATAGGCCTAATAGTGTGATCAAAGACATTGAGGTAGTGGATATTCCAGGATTTAAGCTAAGGAAATCTTTTTCTAACTTGAAGAAAGCTTTTAGTCCCTTTTTGTATAACTCATTTTTTGCCATAGAGAAAGGCATGAGGCTTTGAAATAGATGCCTAGATATCTATAACTTGATACACATTCAATATTGAAATTTTTGCAGTGAAATTTTTGTTTAATTGTTCTCCCAGCTTTATTAAATTATATAATAATTCTAGTTTTAATAGAATTTTTTTGGTACTTTCATACCCCAATCATTGCAATATTTTTCTAAAAAATTTAGTTTTTGCTGTAGTCTTTCTGGTGTTGATGAAAAAATTTCTATATCATCTGCATGCATTAAACAGTTTATATTATTTTAGTGCAATATGGCAGAGTCTATACAGCCTTGTAAATATGATGACAAATGATTTATAAACATTATAAAAAAAAAAGTAGGGCTCAAGTTATCTCCCTGAAGTACACCTTATTTGATAGGAAATGAAGAAGTAAGAAAATTTCCATACTTGGCACATGCTTCACTTTTCATGTACATATCAATAACAATTTTATAAAATTTATTACCAACATTATATTTCAGTAGTTTCAATTTCAAACCATTATGCACAACACTGGCAAATGCCTTATGAAAATCTACAAAACAGGCATATAAAGTCTTCCTTCTTTTGTGTTTCAGTATTTATCGATTACACAGTTAAAAATAAAACAATGATCTGAAGTTCTGGCATGTTTTGTGAATCCAGCCTGATATAAACAATTTAACCTACCCCCACCAATCCTTCCCATAAGTTATTAATTCAAACAGCCACTCTGAAGAACTATGACCCCCAAAGTTATCTTTCTTTACCTGAGATATTGGAAACACTCCTGGTAATGGTGGGTTTGTTCTGGGCGGTTTTAATGCAGCGTAAAATCTTATTTCTGTGTCCTAAAGCAGCTGAAATTCAGAAAATATATTCAGCATCAAACCATTCAATACTCTCCACAAAACAAAATACTAGTCTAGAAGAAAAGTATCTGAAACTCGAATAAAAATCATAGGACTTTCTTGAGAAAGGATTAAAAACTTTTGCTACTTACAAACACCTAAATCTATCAGGGTCTTGTCATCCATGTTACAGAGTTCTGTCCCAATTATAGCATTAGACACAAACGAGTCTTTGTATTGGCTGAGCTCAATATGAACCAGCCAATCACCAACGTCCTCTGCAGACCAGGACTCCAAGTGTTTGTGGGCATCCTCTTGTTTCTCTACCTTCATAGCACATTGTGGTTCCTGGTAATTATCTTTTAAAAAAGAATAAAAAAAATGTTAATCCCCATTTGAACTTTTCACTTTTCAAAGGTTGATACAGTTTACTTCTACAAATCTTTTATTTTAATTTTACAGTGAAATTGGAGAAGCTCGCCTTATTGTTAACATAGGATTTTGAATCCACAATGTATTAAAATATATTTTATCAATAATAGCCCTACCAATAAGCTTTTGTCTTTTAAACATTTTTCTATACATGACAAGAACCACTGATTGATAATAGAAGATATTTTATGTATATAAGGTAATGAAATCAAAATACCTATGCAGTCCTCCTGTGTAGTGATTTTCCAGATCATGACTAACTTGTCATTGGATCCGGAGGCCAGAAGACGACTATCGCTGGAGAAAGCACAACATGTGATGTAACGAGTATGTCCCTCCACAACACACAGCTGCTGAGTAGTGGACTGTAACAAAGAGGTCAGAGGTTAAAAACAAAAATACTCCACGGATAAAAGGTCCTCTCAATTTAAATTTTTTATTTCTGATAAAATTTTAAAATAAAAGAGTTGTATTTTTTCTAACACAAACAAACTGAATAGATGTGCATAAAAATAAGTTAAAGGCAATGTGTTTTGTGAACTTGATATGCTCACAGGACCTAGCTATTTCTATTTTTATCTTAGCCTCCTCTTGGATCAACCAAAACAATGAATTTGAAGACTGCCTTTTTAATAATAATACTAAAGTAACAGCAAATTCCTAAAATAAGGCTTAAGAAATATAGATCTAATTGGATATACATGGTCAGTAAACAGAATCATGCCTATTTTGAAAACAACTTAAAATATGTAAAAAAAAAAACAGACGTTCTTCATGTACTTACTGGGTCCCAAATTCTAACTGTCTTGTCAATAGATCTGCAACAATATATAAATATTTTAAGTAAATATTTACTAATGCTTAAAAGTGGATATTTTAGCACATGCAGTCATGCAAGTAGTTAGTACAGTCTTCAATTTTCTCGGTTGTTCATTCTAACTCATTAAAGCTAGCATGGAGGTAGCACGAAAATGAAAAGAATACAACAAACTTACGCAGATGCCAGTAAGTTTCCATCCAGGGAAAAACAGCAGAAATTGACTGTCCCTTCATGTCCCTTGAAAGTCAGCTTTTGTTTCAAGACCACTGCTGGTTTTGAAAATAATAATGTGAAATGGTGATAATTAAGTCATTTAATTAAATATTTTATTTCACATAACAATGTGCAAAGAACTTGGATAGTGTTTTAAGATTTTTTCAACTTTAAAAACAATTGACATATCAAACTACATTTTCAAAAGCCAACAACAGAATGAAGACAAAAGATGAACAATGTATGTATCTAAAATACTGGTCCTATGACCTAATATTAAGAGTTAAGAAGAGAATGGTGTTTGACTTACAAGTGCAGCTTAGATCTGCAGTCATTTCCCAGATTTTCACCAAATTGTCTTGCCCAGAGGTGGCCACCCTATAAGTGACACATTCATTGACCCCACTGTTCTCCACCTTTGTGTGTGGGGCAAAGTCACAGCTTGTGACCCCAAGGTCGTGACCTTCTAGAACATAGGTCAAAACTTTCCCATGCCCATATTTAGCATCCCAGACTCTCAGATCCCCATTGCTACTCCCTGATATAATGAATGTGCTGTCAGGTGTAAAGGAACAGGCCACTACTGAGGCATCATGGCAAGTGTTGTAAGACCTACAATATTTCGAAGGGAAAATTTCAGGTATCATAACAAGGTAAAAGGCAAACCTTGTAACTTTCAAAAACTGGAAAAAAGAATGCACCCTTGAGAATAAGGGGCAACTTATTCACAAGAGCCATGTTACAGTTACATATCATTATAATTATACTTCAAACTTTTCTTACAGTGCGTTTTCTAAAATATTAATAAGCTGCATAATATTGAAGTTTATATGGTTCTCTGGCTAGCACACATCAGATCTGAGGTAGTTCAACTGCAATTTTTATCAAGTTAAAAAAAGCCTCCAGTTTTTAAGGATTTGTTACCTGACTAAAGTCTTCGTAGAAATGTCCCATAAAGCCAGAGTTTCGTCATCACTTCCAGATACAATATACTTTGTGTCTGGAGAAAATCGGCACACTCTAATGCTCTGTTTGCTGGTATGTTGAAATGTAGCCACCTAAAGTGACAAATAAATAAGTAAATAAAACAAACATCAAGATTGTTAATATAAATCTGAAAGCATGCATAAATTTGAAATCTACTCAACACAACAAATTATGAATTTGTGACCATTTATGAACAGAAATGGTCATTTTCATCTTTTTTTGACCTCAGTAATTTAGAAAATAATGTTATTCATCCCGACTTTACTACATGTAGTATGGTGCTATATTTATTACCAAAATGACATGGAATGTTCGCACACGTCTTATTTGATCAAAACAATGTCTTTTCCTCACTCCTTAAAGCTGAACACAACTCGTAAATAGGCATACGCCATTTTCTATAGCATTATCTATGATACTTCAACGCTAAGGTATACTCGTCGCATTCGTCACACCTGACTGCTTTATTGTCACGGGTATCGGCGTGGAATGGCGACCCGTGTTTGTGCTGGTTATCTTGCATTAACTTTGTTTACATTTATTTGCAGTTATGTGTATCTGTGTTGTTTGTATACTGCACTGACCTGTACAACTATAATTGTAAATTTATTTGGTATCTTACTTTCCTGCTTTAGACGAAGTATTACATTATTATTTTTGCTACCGAGTCCTGTATAGCATACGTCCGTCTACATCGGTGTCGACTGATTACACTGAACAGCGTCTAAGTTCTGGCCTTTATATATGGGTCTGCAGGGTGGCGAGAATCGGGAGTAAAAATGGCGGACACATTCCTTTTACGAATCGTGTTCAGCTTTAATTGTACACTAACCTTATTCCCTGACTTGACATCCCAAAGAATAAGTTTGCCATCGGTAGAACATGTTGCTAGAATTGTTCCAAATGGTGAAAATGTGCAACAATGAACGTAATAAGCATGACCGACAAGTGGTGAAGCAGAGAGTTCAGTGAAATCTTCCGTATCCCATAATCTCACTGTTTTGTCTCCAGAAGCTGTAGCTAACTTCCCATCAGGTGAAAAGGCTACGGAATTGACATCGGATGTGTGAGTGGCTATGGTATGATGAAGACTTGCCACCAAATGTGGACTTGATGACATGTCGGTATCTGGAATCATAAAGTTCTTTTTGTGATTAAATAGATCTTTGATGCAAACATGACTATTAAAAAGTTTTTGTGAACCATGCACTATCATGACTTATAATTATATAAGGCTGAATTAAAATCATTTCATTGTTTGTTTATATATACAGTATGATACTGTATATTGTTTGTTTTATTGTAGAGCTTGGCATACTCATATACTTCATAAATGACAAATATATATATAGGCCTACTATTAAATTGTTCATTCTATACGCTACACATACTTTAATCATGTTAATCATAACGTGGAAAGTTTTTTTGAAAACTGAACATCAATCCTCCATCTTATGTTTTTTTAAACCCCTAAATTTAGGATGAGAAATTAGCTGCAGAACTGCCAACCATTTAAAAAACTGTATATTTATTGCACACAAAAAAGTGCACGGTTTCTAGATTTATTTCTCCGGGTTTTTAAACTACCATGTCAAAATATAACTAACCGTGTGTTCCTAACATATCATTTCACTTATTCCATGACAAAACATGCCTTATAATATTGTTGTTAATAGCCCTCCTGGCCCTTAAATTAAATTAATCCTTGAAAATTTCGTCTATTTATATTGCCATTTTGGTTTGCAAGATAATTGGTCCAAACATGCTTCGTGCAGATGTCGACTATGAGAGTACTTGACAGAAGAGTAAGGAATTTCTTTAACGATTGTCCCCAACTTTTTGGGCACAATAAATATAGTTTTTTCAATGGGTGGCACTGTATGTACCAGCTCTCTGGTCTGTCAATATATTTTTTTCGGAGAGATACAGTTCTGCAGCTAGATGAGAAATATGTTTCAAAATAGATTTCATGCATTGATCATGTTAATATGGACAGATTATAGTCTTATATTTGAAAATATAGATTTCAGGTCTGGCATATACCAATTATAGTACATGTACCAAAGCTGCACACATATAGGACCTAGCTTCATTTACTCAGTGAAATTATAATTATTATTGTAAATCAAAGAAATTTAATACAACACAGCTGACATGAACTAATCTTGTTGATAAACAAATTAATGTTACCCTGTTACCTGTCAGTCACAGAGTCAGCTGATCAAGTTCTGCCACTGGCTAAACATCTTATGATCTATCTTTAGAGTCGAACAACATTATTGACCGCTTTATTTTTTAAGAAAAAGATATACAAACCTTTGCTATGATTTATTCTGTTATATATTTTAGATACATGTTCTCTTGTCACATGACATTGACTGTTTTCATTTTCTCAGTTTTAGACATTTCGCAAACATGTCTTCCATGTTGTTTTGTGACGTAGTAAGTGATCATGTGACAAGCACCTGGCTGCATGTTCAAAATGGCGGGATGATTTGAGAGGCTGAGGGTATCCAGGAGATATTTTCTTTTTGATAGAAAGGTTCATTTGCACAGATATTTACTGAGAATGAACAAAGTCCTTAAAGCACAGTACTTGCTTATATCTTTAAGCATTTTTTGTCCTATGAGGTCTTTGTTCATCAAAAATAGTTTCGGGCAGTTCCAAGACAAGAAATGGTGGGAAAAGAAACCTTAGCCTTTACAAAAAGGTACACGAAATAAAAACTTCATCATAAAAAGGGATGATGTGTATTGGTCTAATCTTATACAGGTAAAAGGGTGAATTCTTTGAAGCCACAAAACAAAATCCCACAGGATGAATTTAAATCCCCAAACCTACATCGTGAACCCCCCTCTATTGTAATGAACCTGCCATTCTCTGTTTATTGAATCGTGTGCGCTATCCATTCAACTATGGTATTTTCAATATTCAGAGGTATAAAAGCGTATAGATCGAAAATTCAATAGAGGGGAAACAGATAGAAAACATGAATTTTGGCGTTGAGTAACTAAGATACAGGAAAATGGCGACCGACACGGATAGTGTTCAAAATCACATGACCAGGCTGCGGATGAAAATGGTCCAACAGGTGATGTCATTAAAAAATTAATTAAGATTTGTTTCTTTGTAATGAGTAATGAAGGAAAGTAGTTGAACTTTGACATCAGTGATGCTCACTTGTTTGTTTATGTTTACATTTCAAGGAAGTAATATTTATATTGTTTGATTAAATGTACATCATACAATGGTTAGAAATTATGAATATTGAATGACATATAGTAAGCAGTCTAGACGAACTCCAAAAACGGCGTTAACGGAAGTGAGAATTTCAGTCCAGAAAAGACTCCAAAAAACGAGGCCAGCGCATGCGCAGTTATATAAAAAACGGTGAAAAATCGTGAAAAGTGGGCTCTTATAAAAAGTGTTTTTGCAAAAAATTGGATTACCTTACAATAATGTAAGTTCTCAGAAATTATTAATAATAAATGTTTTTAGAGAATGTATTTGTTAGAATTTTGATTTCATGTGCAAATAGTTTTTAATTTCAAGTCAAAGTTGACCAACTTCGAGGTTCAGCCAGACATCGTACAAGTAGGATACAAAATACAAATTAAACAGTCTTAATCTTATGAAAACATCTCTGTGGTTGATAATTTGTTTGTAGTGACTAAATTAGTCATTTCAGAACTACTTTTACTGATTTTAGAAGTTTTTTTGTAAGTAAGGAACGCTGGCGAATTTTCAGTTCGAATTTCCTCTGTCTTTCATGTCTATCGTGTACGAATGAATTTCAGCATGTTTAGATCAGTAATGAGCAACTGCATTGTAAATACATCTTACCAATAATTAAAAAGTACTGAATTGATGGTTTTAATCATAAATAAGAGTCGATCAGGTGACAGTTACATGAGAATCCATTCAGTTTCCACATTTCCTCCGAGGCTTTTTTGAAGAAAGTTCACGTTTCAAGTTAGATCAAATACAAAGAAAAATAAACGTTTGGGAATTAAAAATATAATAAAAGGGGAAAATATGTAAAATTGAACAATGTAATATATTTGTTGTAACTGTTAAACATTGACCGAATTTTTACCTATTTGTAATATTATTTCGTCATATAATCCTGTATGACATCTGAATATTGAGAGCGTTAGTTATCACCATCGCTATATACTAGTACCTAATGTTTTCACATATGAATAGAAATAATCATGAAAACATTTTTATAATTATAATCTATGAGTTTAAGAACTTGAAAAAAAAATCATTCTTTTAAAATTACGGTAAAAAAGTCTTCTCAAATCGAACCTGTTAATATCTCTGCTCCGCCGCCAAAATTGTGCGGTTTTTCATTAAAAAAAAAACAAAAACAACGATATAAGTGTCTTAGAAATAAAATTTAAGTATCTTTATAGTAGGAATGGCATAAAATTTAAATCAAGGGGACAATAAATTAAGTTAGAAAATTAATTCTTACCGACTTTATTGAATCCCGGTGTCGTACGTATATCCCAAATCACTATTATGCAAGAATACAGAGCGATAAATAAGTCAATAACCACTAAATAATTTAATGGGTACAATTATTTATTCAACAAAAATTAAAATCCAGTCACAGTTTACTAAATACAGCCATTATTCAGTCGTATTTGTGGAAAAAGCGAACGACAATCCATCGTTTGTTTATATCGGAAGCCATTTTGCCGCAATGCATGACGGAGCCAAAGACTTCTTTTTTGGAGTTCACGCCGTTTTTGGAGTTCGTCTAGACTGGTAAGGTTTGATTAATAATATAGATAATCAGTTTACACCCCCCTTCCCATCATTAATAAGAGTGACCATGTATTTTTCAGGATGGGCACCTGCAATTCTCTATCTTTAATGTTCTATATAGTATATATACACAGGGGCCAGTCACATACTGTTTTTGATTTTAAGTTATCACTATATATATACAAAAAAGGATCTCTTTTTGTATACATATAGTGATTACGTAAAATCAAATACAGTATGTTACAGGCCCCTGTGTATATATACTGTTTAAAGTATGCTTATTTTTTTTCAATATTTAATTAGAAATTTATCTTTTCATAGAAAATTTCAGATAACCATCAATTTTTATGAAAATTTAGTTATATAATTGATATGTCAAACTTAAGATGCAGTGCACAAGTGGCGGATCCAGAAATTTTGAAAAGGGGGGGGGCAGTTTGAGGTCAGGGTAGGGGACCACAGCCATACCCAAAACATTGATGTATTAAATATTGTGTATTTCTTTGGTCACAAAAGGGGGGGGGGGGCGGGCCCCCTGGCCCCCTCTAAATCCGCCAGTGGTGCTTATTTGTTTTCTGTTTCTACTTAAATACAGAAATTGAATTAGTTCGATCAGATTGAAATTAAGGTGGGGTAGACATGGTAGAAAGTTGGAATTGTCACAAACAAGGGTTTCAAAGGTTTGAAATGTAGTTGGATAAGTTGAGTCAAATTGATGTAGCGGTACTCAACATTGAACATATATTTTGAATTAAGTAAAGAGGATGTATTTGATAAAACACTTCACAAATATACCTTTCTAAAAAAAAAATGTATGTATTATTGATTTTAAGAGCTTAAAGGTTAAATTTTATCTCAGATTTAAGATATTGATTAATTTTAACTTGATTTATCACAGCTGAATAGTTTGTTACATAAGAAAGAACTTGGTCATAGTTCTAATTAGAAAAATCGATGTCAAATAATATCTGTTTTATCAATTAAAGTTTTTATTCTTTAGATGTGGCATGCAAAATTGTGATTCTTTTTAATTAGGCAAAAATATTAAGAAAAGTGAACTATATATGAATGTGTGTGTTTTCATTTTGAGTCTTTTTAAATGGAGTAAAATTAATTTATTTAAGTAATATAATTATATACCGTAATCTTAACAGGGCTCTCGATCATAATTGGGGCCGTATATTCCCAATTTTTTTCCCATGAATGTATTAAAAAATTAAAGAAAATATAGCTGGATATGTAATAATTAAATTGTTTTTCACATTCCTCTGTATTGCAAAACAATAATTTAGTTGATATCAAAGATCAGAAATCCGGTATAACATGTTTATAAAGAATAATGGTTATCCCCAAATTTCCCAGAATCTCGCTACTTTTCCCAATATTGACGGACCCGGACCCATTCCCAAAATGTGGTGTGAGAGCCCTGCTTAAAATCAGTATACATTTATGAAAGTAAAAAAAAATCAGGGCATCATTATTATATTCCCCATGAACGAAATTTGGATGTGGGATATAGGAATAGCATCCATCCATCTATCTGTCCATGCCATCTTGTTCACACTACTTTGTAATAAGAAACACTGGAAGCTCATACTACAAAGTTTTTTATGACCAAGGTCATGCCAGCAAGTTCAAGGTCACTGGCCAAAAATAGGTAAAATATTTCTTCAGACCACATCTCAATTTATATTTATAGGGAATCAATAGAAGCTCATTCTTGGTATAGAGATTATGTACGACTTAAGAGTATGACAAGACCTTGATTCACAGTTATTATACACCCGCAAACAAAGTTTGGGGGCATAAAAGAATCACTTTGTCCATCTGTCCATCTAGCTATTCATCTGTCTGTCTAAGCAAAAGTGTCCGGTTCATATTTTTCTTTTGGAGGAACAGTAGACAAAGATGGTTCATGACCTGAGGGTGTGTCATGAAAGAAAAAGTTCGTAATTCCCATCTGGTCTATATCTTTTTAAAGGATAAACATGGTGAGTTCCTATTTTACACAAAGATTGCTTATGAACTGAGGCTATGTTGTGACCTTGAACCAAGGTCATTGGCCAAGTTCAAGGTCATTTACTGACAAAAGTTCATAATTTGTGTCCGGTCCATTAAATAAAACTTGATGAGTTCCCAAGTGACACAAAGATCTTACCTGCTGTGACACAGAAACTAGGTTTATAGGGTCTTATCCAGAGTACTGGTGTCCATATCCTGCAGTGGATTGGAACCTATGACGTAAAGATCAAAACCCTACTCTGCATCTCAAGAGCAGACACTTTAACCACTGCACCACGACGGTGACCTTTGATTTTGTATTGAAGAATGAACTTGTAATGAAAATAACATGTTTGTGAAACACTGATGCTCCTCTACGGCAACACCAACCATTCAAACCTTATGGCTAATGTTAAAGTTTTTTAAATGGGTCAATGTCTAAGTTTAAGGTCAAAGGGTACAAATTAATGGTACACAAGGAGGAACATTCTTAGAAGAAATACACATGTGAAATATAAAATCCCTAGCAAAAATTGTTCAAAAGTAGTCAAGGTTTCAGTTTTAGAAAAGTAGGTCTAATTCAAAAGTTAATGCCAATTGGTAAAATTAGTTGGTATCAAAAGGGAAGTCGTGTCTTCAGGAATACACCAATTTTTTGAAAAGTAAAGTTTTGAAA